TTACTATGAAATCTTTTATGCCACATAAACTGTCAAGTATCGGAAACAGAGAGATAATTGGAAATTGTGTATTTTTAATTTTAGAAATATCGTTAAACTTTTTATGTTACTAATCTATAGAGTTTAATTCCTTAAATAGCTAACGAGTGTGGGATAGCTCCAGTACTCCTGGACTATATAATCAGAAAAGTCTTAGTCCCTTACAGGGGTGGCTCGAGGGGGCTTTAGGGACTAACGGATTGGACCCTGGGAAAATAAATTTAAACATACATCTCGTCCTAAAAACGTAATGAAGGTTTTTAGACACAGTTCTAGACATAAACAATAGATTTTTTTTTAGAAAGCCACCATACAGTTTTAAAAATGCCAAACATTGCGGGAGTGGACCCCAGAAAACCCCCTCTCCCCCCTCTCTTGACAAGGACCTAGAATCACCAAATTCCCTTATGTGTTGAAAAACTACAAAATTACTGCTGTGCTATTGATGAGATAAAACAACGTTAGAAAATGTTCTCCTATTGATATGCATCAAACCAGCCTTTGGCCATTATTTCCATTATTACATGAAAATTATTTCAAGTTTAAAGTTTAAGTAAAAATCAATGATTGACATTCTAAGCTAATCAACGAAGAACGAGAGATCCTCATCAATCATAACTTTTTAAAGATATACACATTTTTAGTTGCACCAGTTGCGTCATTATCTAGAATATCAACTTTTTAAACTTAAAAGTTGAAGAATATTTTTATTTACTGTGCGTCCCATGCCGAGGCCAAAATGATTGACTACATGCTACATATCTGACATTCCGTTAGTAAAAGTAGTCCTTTACGATACCGGTTCGCAACAGTTGAGAATTGTCTAGGTTACAGTAAAAAGTAAATTTTGGGAACCTATGTTAAAAAAACATGGTCTGACTAAAATAACGGCTCATAAATACACACATGAATCTTGAAAGACTATTAACGTGAGTTGCGTACACTACTTTACCTACGACCGTTTTTTAATTACTAAAAATCTGGGTTTTTATTACTAACAATCACTACTCATAACTTCCTAGAGAGGTTATGTTTTCGTTTATTGTCATTGTCACTGAAAGTGATGCAACGACTTATTGTATAATCAGCAGTGTTGGGAAGTAGCGCGCTACAAGTAGCGACGCTACAGTAGCGCGCTACTTTTTTTGTAGCGTTAGCTGTAGCTACGCTACTTTTAAGATTTTGTAGCTTTAGCTGTAGCTAGCTACATTTTTAAAGTAGTTGTAGCGGAATTTTAGCTACTTTTCTCGCTACATTAACCATGTTTGAGATAGTGATTTTTATCATAACCTCAACCTTACGTGAAACAACCTCTTTCAATATCAAACTGAGATTTTCAAAAAAATTAGGCCTACTTTCTTGGCTTCATACAGCTGGTGGCAGCCGTTTCATTCCCTATTACAACGTTGTGTGGACATGGAGGTCATTAAATGAGTGTTATCCGAATTTTTGGCTCTCATTTCCAATTTACTACTCTATGATTACTGTCAGATAAAATAAAATCGCTAGATGCAGACGACGTTTAAACGTTACCGGTGACAAGAGAAGCTATTGAATCATTGAATGCTTGCAAGTGGTTGGCAGGGAAATTAGTAATCAATTTAGTTTCTTTATTATATCGATAGTGTTTCAACTTGGGTTTTAATGGACACCAACACTAAACCTTAACTTAATGAGAAAGCTGGTCTATCAACCTTTGATTCAGCTGTTGATTGTTGTTCATCATCACAAGCCCTTCCTTGGTTAGATTACGAATATTTTTCAAATTTTTACTAAATTAACAAAGAGGAAATTACCTGATGAGATTTAAGATATGCCTAGACTACATGATGATTGTAACGAAAAATCTCCATATAACATGAAACTTACATTGAAAAATTAGCAAAGTTTGCTCCTGCTAACAGCTCTTGTATCTAGGACTATTCCTAGGCATACTATGGTTTAAGACGAATACAAAGTTCCAAGTTCAATTATTAGGAATATATCTGTTTAGTCCTTGCAAGAACAAGCCTACTATAGCCAACTTGTTACATAGCCAAGTAGGCCTACATGTTATTTTTACTTTACAATTTTCAACATGTTTAAATTAAAAGCCGATTTTAGGATAAGTTGCTGAATACTGTTTTCTGCACCAACTAGGTTGAAGCACAATTTGCCCTATGCATAATGACAATAAAGGACGATTTCTTGACATAGAAAAGTGTTATTCATAGAACAAGTAACTTATCACTATGGTTAAAAGTTATAGCAATGTCGTTTTTAACATTAAAAATAAAGAAAGGCAATAAACTCCAATTTCAGTAGGCTAGGAACACAAAAAAGTATTTTAAATCATCGTTTTTACAGTTTTATTGGTCTTAATTGTTGATATAAGACATATATAAATGAATCTATATTAAGGAAATAAAATGAGCTTTTAAAATATAGTTTGGTTGTATGTCCTTTGAACTTAATGAAATTTACATATAAGACGCTTAAAAATAATGCAATATTTAAAAATATGTACTAAATATGACGGGGCACCCAACTATTTGGTTCTGTTGTTGTAATGTTAGGTTTATACGCCAACAAATTAAACACAATCTATGAATAATTTGTTTTCCAAGTAATGTTGGATACAATACTGACCTTTTTTGTTTAAATGTTTGTTTAAAAATGTAGTTGCAATTAATTTTACATTTACCTAATGTTCGTAGAAAAAAAAGTAACGTCTTTGGAAAAGTAGCTAAAATTGTAGCTGTAGCTACATTTCATTGTAGCTGTAGTTGTAGCTAGCTACTTTTTCGGAACTGTAGCTGTAGCTGTAGCTAAGCTACTTTTTTGGAAATGTAGCAGTAGTTGTAGCTAGCTACATTTTAAAAGTAGCTTCCCCAACACTGATAATCAGCTGATTTCATGTAATTACGTGTTTATAAAACTTTGTTAAATAATACGTTACTTTTTCAGGCAATAGGTTCTGCTAGCAGCATTCTTACCATAAATACTGTATCAGGTACAATTAGGGAAATATTGCTTAAATTTTTGGACAGCTGAATAATATAGTGAAACAGTTAATTTTCAGTTAGATCTCAGCATCGAATATGTGGTCCACAACGAGTTGGGTGAAAAAGTGGTTAAGAGGTTTTCAAAATAAACCAGAAGAACATTTTCATTTATCAATTTAACCTTATTTTGTTTCGTCCATTTAATGAATTGCTGGTATGTAATTGCATAAGGTACCTTTGTTTTGATTTTGGTGGCAAAAGATTAGCACAAACAGTTTGTGATCTTGTCAACATCACTTTCACTAACTGATATTTTAAAATCAACCTTCATTTAACTTCCACCAACTTAGGTTAAGAATACGCGAGTATCAACAGGAACAAGCAGGATCAACAATTAAAATTGTCAACTGATCAGCTGATTAGTTGACGTTCGAAGTATTACAATTGTACTTCTTTTCTCTCAATCCTTGAACCTCATTGGTCCGTTACCCGTGTTGATATGAGAAAAACTATGCTGATATGAAATGAAACTATGCTGATATGAAAGTAAAAAGCTGTTAAGTGAAACTTTTCAATTCTAAGAACTGAACTGAAATGGCTACTTTAAAAAACGGTCGTAGGTAAACACATTTACCTAACTGACTCAATCTGCCTATGATTTGACTGATTGTCACTCTAATTAACTTTTAATTGGCACCTGTGTATGCATCAGTGCCTAAATATCAGCACATGTATCCAAATTAGTCAGTAACCCAATTCAATCAAAAGAAGAATCTTCAACATGATAAACGTTAAATAAAGCACTCATAATTATATTAAACCTGTTTTGTGTTTTGATAAGCTTGGAAAACACTTGCTTAGTGGAGGTGCCGATTCAAAACTACCTATTGTAAAAATTTAAATGAAGCATTGCTCTCAGTGCTAGTGATGTTTCAAACTGGAATATTCCATGTGCTGTTTTGAAATCTCTTACCAGAATTATTAAGCTTGGCTCGCTGGGAGCCAAATAAAGCCGTAGATTTTATGTAGGCAGATTTCAGGTCAGAGTTCCAAGATTTCTGCAGCTACACAAAATTTGTATTATTATTCTTAGATCTAGAACAAAATCTTTGTGTACTAAAAGTAATTGGACTTTTGTAAGTCTGCCATTATATAGAGTTCTCCTATTCCTTTGTTGGAAATACTTTCTCAAACCTTGTCAACTGTTCGACGTTTAAATAAAACCCCAGAATCCTTCTTTCACAATACTTTTCCTAACTTTTCTTCATTACAAGCGACAATGCTGCTGCTTACAGCATTCAATGATTTAATCTTTATTTCACTTGTACCTTAAATTTATATTTCTTTAAAAATCTGTTTGAGTTTAAATATTTTTTTGTTTTTAATAAGTCTATTAAAGACACCACACCTTAATTACAATTATCAACAATGAATGAAAAAGTGAAACACCTGAAAAGGATACCGAGTAAACAGTCAGTTTTGCGTAATTAACATTAAGAACAGAACACACAAGACAAAAGGCAAAAACATAGAAGTAACATAGGCAAAGTGGAACATTAAAACCACAAAATCTATGAAAAAACCCCATCTAAGTTCTTACAAAAATACACATGAGCATTACACTGTTACTACGACACAAAAATCCATTAGGAATTCCAAAAAATTGCAAAATCTAAAAGCAGCTTCTAGACGAAAAAAGTAACATACAAAAAACTAACAAACAAAGGAACATCACACAGCGAATTAGTAGAAACACGACAAGACCGCACATGCCAGAACCTACCTGAGCTCCGCTTCACTTGAGCGGCCGAATCTCATCAGTCGAGCACTCGATCGGCGAATAGACGCTTTCAGCTTGGAGAAAGACCCGCTTCGCTTCATTTTCCCCTTTAAAACAACCCGATAAAAATGTGAACCCTCCCTTGTAATGTACAGAGAACCAGGGGCGGTGGCGTGGGCTCAAATGAAACTCAAATCTGTCATCACAGCTCCTTTTATTTTTACAAAAGTTGTCCGTATATACAAACAATGCTATAACTAGAAGGCAACGGCAGAGCCAAGGTAACATACCTCCCTTGGTCGGGACAAGACTCCCAGACAGTAAACTTTGGGCAAATACAGAATCTTTTCTTTGTGAGTGTTTATCAGATGTGTTAATATAAAAGATAATATAAGATCTATTAGGTTTGTTTTGGAGGAAAGAGCACTTGGCTTGAGAATGCATTAAGGAAGATGGATACACAACAATCCTACTCAAGAAAATAGTTCCAAACAGTTTATAGCTCACTAAAGTTCACAATAAAATTAATTTCATATCTTTCTCCTCCAAGAAGCTTCATCATAAGGAAGTGTAAGCAATACAATAAAAGTTAATTGTGTTTTGAACTTTTTGTGTGCAATCAACTGCCTGTAACTCTATACATGGGTAAGTTAGTTGTGTGTATCCACTCCTTCTTTCTTCATGTATAGAAGATCTAACAATAAATTTGGGTTCTCTAAGAAAATATTCCATCAAAATAAAATAAAAATATCTCAGCTAACACTCACATAGATTTAGTTAATACACGGAGTATGCTATAAAAACTAAAAAATTAAAAGATCTTTTTGTGTTTATCAGTACATGTTTAATTTTAAAAAAATAAATTAAGATTTTAAAATCATTATATTGTATAATTAAAATCTACAATATAAAAAAAAGAATTGTACATAAACTATACATTAAAAACATCGTAAACGAGTATTTAAAAACAGAATAAGTATTTTGTTCAGTTATTTTCAATGAATAATAGGAATTATCTACCTGATCAAACATACACAAAACTAATATACTAGGTATAAAATAAACAATCAAATATAGTCTAAGGTTTAGGGAAGCCCACAAATCTAAAACAATAACTAATAATAGGAAATAAAAATTACAGAGCATTGAAGAAGGCTTGTTTGATGAAAGCATGATTGGAAAAAATAAAAAAATAAATACGAGATTGCAACGTATTAGATTCAAATAGATTAAGGTGAAAAGAACTGTGTTCCATATAGATGCAGTAGAAAAATTATATGAAAAATAACTAGCTATGAGAGTAGTTCAGAAATGCAATATTAGATAGGCTTATCAGATTAAATATCAACTTTGCTTTCATTAAAAACAAAACCTCCATCAACATGCCCACGTCGCATCATTGCAACTAACCCACTAGGCTAACAAAACATTACACATCTAAAATCTGTTGAGCATTCTAAGCGTACAGAATGACGCAGCCTACACTCTAAGTTTGATTAGTTTATGGCTTACACTTCTAAAACTAACAAAAAAAACTTGCTATGATGTGCTTGTCATGTCAAAGGGTATCCGACTAAACAAAGTCTAAGTTTGTAAAATAAAATTTTGATCAAAATGAGAATTCTTGATTTTGTCATAAAATGCAAAAAAGGAACTATTCAATAACATGCCAATAATTTTGGCAATAAACCGCTTAAAATATTTGTTCTGATAACATTTTATATACATTAGTGTATAAAGTAACTGGTGGTTCTATATTCACAGTTTTTTTTACAAAACGCTCAAAAGGAGCTTATACAAATATTATCAACAAGATAATCACAATATAATAACAAGTGATTCAGTTAAAGGTTACAATTTTAAGATAATTTGCATAACTGGGCATTGTTTAAGGGCATTTGTTGTTGTTTTTGTTTACAAGGAGTGTTGTTCAATAAGAGAATGTGTTTTAAATGCAAATAACTTTTAAAAAAAGAGAAAGATTTGATGCTTGTTCCTCAAGTTTTGGAAAATGCCAAAGCTGTTGCAGTCAATGGGGACCATTATCAGGAGATGATAAGTAATTACATTTGGCAGAAGATGGAAGTGAGTGGTAATGACAATCTGAACAACTTGTGGTTCAAATCAAATCAAATCAATCCAACAGGACAGGGACTCTTATACAGGTGGAAAAACCTCACACAATTAGATACATTTTTTACGTAACTTGAAGTTTTTTTGAGGTAACTTGAAGTAGAAGGTTAGACAATCAAACCCAACTTGATTCGGAACTGAAGGTTGAGACTAGAATTTTCCATAAAACCTCACAAAATTGAACAAGAAAGTGATTCAACGTTTCATCAAAAGGGCAAAGTCTGAAGATCAGTGATCTGACAGATGCCATTTGTAATGTTCAATGAACATTCTAAGAAAGTGTCTAAAAAACATACTCAGGAAGTAAACTAAATGCATGCTAACCCATTTTAAAATTGTAACCTCCAACTGAATCAACCTATATAAATCCTAAATTACTCGTAACCGAGCAAATAAATGTATAAAAGGAGCTATGTATTTCCGCAAAACTCGGTGCGGCTCAAATTAAGTAGATAAGACTTAACCTAGCATGCAAGATGGCATTCATCACGCGTTGTGGTTGAGTCCGAGAACGTTGAAAAGTTTGTTTTTGAGTCCGCCCGTGCGTGGGTCCAACGCCCCAGTTCTCTGTACATAACCAGTTCCCTGTGACAAATAAAAATGTCAACATCGGTTCTAAACGCAGGACTGGTATGGGACAAAGTGTACAACTGTTTCCCCATTGGTATGAACTCCCGCTATAAGGTTGCTTTACATACCTCGCATCTTCAAATCTAAGAGAAACTTGAGATTAGGTTTCAAGTTCTCTGAAAAACATACCTAAACAATTAAAATATGTTAAAAAGTTGAATGAATTTGATGTAATCCTATTTTATTACAAATTTACTTTATAAGTCTGTTGTAAAATAGTACTAGACAAAATTCAAATTTTGCTTCCATTTATTTCTTAAATGAAACACAAGTTTTAAGTAGAATTGATGTATATATTTATGGTTTTTATTTTTCATGTTTCAGGAATGCAGTAAAACCGCTTTTACCTGTAACCTGTCAAACCTAAACCTGGGTCAACGGAAACTATAATACTAATTCAAATCAATTGGAAAATTAAGGATTTTGTAATGAATAGGTTTGACAGCAGGCTTACCTTACGTACGAAATAGATGAAAGTGCACAAATACACATAAACACTTACAGTAAAGCTCCAACTATCCCATCTCTCAACTATCCGAATTGCTTACAGAAAGAAAAAAATCCTAAAACCACAGTGCAGTAATTATAATTGTTGTTCAAGAAGGCAGAAATCCATAAACTCCTTTGCGGTAATTTTTTCATTGACTCACATTCATGGAAACTCGTCATTGTTTTCTGCGATCGCGGCATAATCTTAAAACATCTTCCGCAGTCTTGAAGACATCATCATCATCTCCCGCGATCATGGCAACATCTTGTATATCTCTCACAACTGTGTAAAATAGATCATGACTCCTTTGGTCATGGAAAGTCGTCTTTGTTTTCTGCGATCGCGGCATAATCTTAAAACATCTTCCGCAGTCTTGAAGACATCATCATCATCTCCCGCGATCATGGAAACATCTATATCTCCCACAGTTGTGTAAAATAGATCATGACTCCTTTGGTCATGGAAAGTCGTCTTTGTTTTCTGCGATCGCGGCATAATCTTAAAACATCTTCCGCAGTCTTGAAGACATCATCATCATCTCCCGCGATCATGGAAACATCTATATCTCCCACAGTTGTGTAAAATAGATCATGACTCCTTTGGTCATGGAAAGTCGTCTTTGTTTTCCGTGATCGCGATAAAATCTTTAACATCATCTGCCGTCTTGTAGAGATCACCATTGTCTCCCGCAGTCACGAAAACAGTGTCATCTTTCTCACGATTGTGACAAAATCTTAAAATATTTTCCTCCGTCCACCTTTGCAGACGTGTTATGAGATCGCAATAGTAAAAGCTTGGCTTGACTCAGCCTATTTACTGTAAAATATCCAGATTTTTCATAAAAATCCAGCTATTTGTATCTTCTATCTACCACATGTGTTACGGTACGGATGATTGGAGTTCTAATGTAGCTCCAAAAATTAGAGTTTTTGTGTTTATTTGTGCATTTTCATATATTTTCGCCAGTAAGTTAAGTTGCTGTTACATTCATTACAAAATTCTTAAGACAGGCCTCCTTAAACCCTTAAATCTCAAACATTGATTAACTGAAAAATAGGTTATCGCAAACAGCCTCACTTTTTTTTCTGTTATTCTGGGTTTTACTGAGTACACAAATATTTGTTGGATCCATATAAACTGGAGTCACTAACAAGAATGACCATATAAGAGAAATTTTCCATTCAATCAAAGTAATTGATGTTTTGCATGTCAGTAAAAATTCTTTCTCCCTACATAAAGATTTTATTTTTTTTAAATCAAAACTTGAAAATGTATTGCTATCTTGAATACAAATTGCTTTATTCAAAAAAGTTAATGTTTTTAGAAGCTTGTATCATTAGCACCTATGATTTTCAAAAAAACAATGTAAGTACATTTTAGGGCTCTCAGCCCAGGTTTTGGCAAATTAGACCTAAATTTTACAGGGCTTTATCTTCCATCCACTTACCTCACAGCTGACTACAAACTAAACTAGAGAACTGGTGCAGCTAAAAGCGGAATAATCACAGTTTATATCTCATTAATTTTCCTTTTCAAGATGTGTTGGCTTCGGATTACCAAGATAGACTATAGGAGGTTTTAAAAAAATGTAATATTGGTAATACAATTGGTTACTTTGGCAACTAGTTTCGGCTCACAATGGAGCCATCATCGGGTGTTACAAGGACAGAATAGATTCTTCCGAAGGTTGTCATATTTCATACACATTTAAAAACAAAACACAAATAGAGTTAGTACGATGTGACCGGTGAGAGTTTACCTCTAGACCGCCAGACCATATGTAATGTGTGTTGTGTTTTTGTTGTTTTTAGATGTGTGTGAAATAAAACGACCTTTGGAAGAAGCGATCCTGTGGTTGAAACGTCTGATAATGGCTCCATTGTGAGCTGAAACTAGTTGCCACAGCAGCCAATTACATTGCCCATCAAAGAATTTCAAATCACTCTTTTTTTGCTGCTAATTAGTAAGTTAAGAAAATTAGCGATAAATCGGGTAAAAATCTGCGATATTAACAAAAAGCAATATTAATTAATAAAAATTAGCAAATTATAATTTTTTACACCAATTTGTAATTCAAAGTCAAATGACTAACCTATTTTATTCCCAAACTATTGGAAAAGAAATAGGCTTTGTATGTGAACATTATATATTAAATTAAATATCTTGTAAAAAAGCATTGGTTTTCAAACTTCGACACTTTTGAAAAATCAAGTCTTACGTAATGAATGAAAATTTTCATTTAACATATTAAACTTTTAACATTTTTACTCTTCATTTTAATTTGCATGCAATGTTTGATAAACACAAATTAGTGGAAAAATTTATTTTTAAAATCTACAAAAACACAATTTTAACTATGTCAATGTTATATTAAGTAAACATTCAATAGTTAGTAAAATTGAAATAGTTTTAAATGTGTAAAATATAGATGAAACAAGTTATGAGTTATGAGAAGTTATGAACAATACAGTTTTGAGTTCATTGGATGGTAAAGCCTCAGAAGCAAGTAGTGGTAAATTATATTTAAACTGTACAACCAGCTTCAACGGCACTGACCTAATTGTATATACTATATATCATAAAATAAAACAATAAAACAATTTAAAAAATGGGCAAAGAGTTTTTCTGGTTTGGGTTAGTATAAATAAATAATGGTGTTAAGTTAACCATTAACCATTAGGTGTTAAGTTTTACATAAGCGCAACTTTTAGATGAAATAAAACAATTTATGTAATTTAACAATTTTGAGTAGAATTTTAATTTTTTTAAATGTGATTCACTAAAAAATTTACTTATTTTTGTTTGATGAAAACAATAAACTGTGATTATTGTAGGTAAGTGCATAAAAAACACTCAACAATCATGCACAAAAACTTACCTTAGTGTGCTACCAGTAAGTTCTGTTTGCTTAATGTATATGTATGTAAAGTTGTACTGACTTACATTTCTAATAATTTATTCTCAGGATGCAAATCACTACTGTGAAATATCATTTTAAACTCTGATTTACAATCAAAGTAAATTCAACTACAACCTTAAATCCTAGAAAATATTCTTCTTGATTTATTTGACTAAAAAATACATATAACTCACAAAACTGGAAGTTATGAAAAAAAACTGCCCAAATAAAACGAAAATCGATATTTTTATTTTAAGCTCTTAGCTTCTTTGATACAGATTTTCCTTATTTCAAACATTCCCGCATGTTAATTATTTGTTCTTTTGACGTTTTAGATCCATCAGAGGAAACCCTGATGAGTTAAATTGGGTGCAAATTTAATTTCTCCAATTATGTTTCTTCTGAACCATAAAAAGCATTTCCAAAATAAGAGCAACTTCTGTGTAAAACTGTAACAAATTTTAAATCACACAACTAATGTAAATAAATATTATGTAATAATGTAAATTAACAATTTTATTTATTTGTCAATTGTATTACGTTCAATGTGTAAATTTTAAATGTTCCTTACCCTAGAACAATTTTATTTTGAAACTTTTCGCATCAAATACCTAACAAAGGAAATATTTTGCGAAATTTACTTCAAATAGTACTAATGTTATTGTGAAGTTCCAATATTTGCTTTTTTTAATTTTTACAGAAATATTAAAAGTTTTGGTAGGAAAAGCATTACAAGACTCCTGAGAAAAGTAACAACGAAATGTCTTTATTTTTCATTGAGATGTCATAAGCCCAATATGAATAGATAATATTAATTAATAAATTGTATGCACATTAATCTATAGGAAACTAAAATAAATTATTTAATTTCTGTTCTTTGAAAACCCACAGAAACAATAAGAGACAAGTAGATAATATTTTTCCAAAATCCACTGATTTAGAAAGGGTTTACATTTTTATTATTTGAACAACAGTGATAATGACTGCACAGAAGATTTGTTAGGAAGATGCCAAATAATGTACGTAAAACTTTCAAGTATGACAAGTCGTAAAATAGTTACATAGATAAGATTAAATCTAGTAATTGTGTATACCTTTTGAACCCAGGTATTTTTTTCTCTTCGATCCGGGTAATCTACTCTTTGAAGAAGTTCTATTTGGTTCTAAATATCAGGGTTTTGTTTATGATTTTTTATTGCGTCACTGCAGTACAATTTTCTCAGTCAGAACCAATATACATAAAAAACAATTGAGGCCATAAATTTATTAGGCGGCCACAAGCGTTCTGTCAAAATGTATTTATATGTTAATTATTCTTCGTTACATATTTTAAGACTTTCAATTACCTCTTTGGAGTGATTCCATGTTAATTATACGACTGATGATGACCATTGCTGGGTTGAAACAGGTCACCACCCAGAGAAATTGATCACATGACAGATTAAGATATTTTAACCTCTAGTAATAATTTAAATTGTGATCAGGAGGCAAAAAACAACAAAAACAAATTAAAAATTAATAATCAGTAATTTGGCAGTTTTAAATAAACATACCAATATGTGTGTGTTAGGGAGAGTAATAGAAATGGATTTATTTCATGAAATAGGATAAATAATGCTATCACTGAGACTGAAGTGTCACCTATACCCTGGTAATAGATTACTGAGATAGGACGATAAATTACTGTTATTTTAGTTACGTAATCTTAACTGTTTAAGCGAGCAAATTAAATAACTATACCGCTTATCACGTATTCCTAAACAGCGGGCATCATAAAATAATAGAAGGTACTACTATTATTTTGCGATATCCGCGGATTTGGGTTTTGATTACTGAGAATACTAATTGTTGAAATGTTGTTTGAACTGTTAGAAAAAGCAAGAGAAATTACGCTTAAGATACTTCTTTATCTTTACATCCCTGCACAAATCAGAAATCCAGTTGAGGTTTTTAAAAAAGCAGCTCTGTCATTTATTGTTTCCGTGGCTTGTCAGTTGTTACGAGTGTTTGCTCACCTCGTCTCCCTCGTACTGACTCATAGACTCGAGACTCTCACGAGAGCCCAGTCGAGGTCCTCGGTTGCCAGAACTGCGTCTCGCGTCCCCGCTCCCGAGGATCTGACTCACCTTCGCCTGCTTCACTATATCCAGGCCCTAGACATACACAGAACATTACAGCACTGTTCCCTTTCTGACCGAAAATGTTTCAGCAAACAGTCATTCATAGTTTAATTTGCTTCCTAGATTAAAGGCTAATGCAAAATAAATATATTGTGTCACCTTTTACCATTAGAATTCTTTAAAACAGTTGTTCCAACGTTTATATTTCAAGAATCAGGTTGCCTTAATGTAATACTTGTACTGTTTGAGGTAATGAGACTACGAGGTAACCATCTTGAAACTATCGCCTTGGATGAACTATACAAATTGACTACTTCAAAAGGAAACACAACCTAAGCATTTTGTACTCATTTTGTAAGTCTCACACCATCTATCTATACAGTGTGGCAAAAAAGTCCCGAGATAGTCAAGTATTAAAAAATACTAGCGATAGAGCTTCACAACTTGGATCAGAGTTACTGGACATAAAAACCATTAAGAATCAAGAATCAAGAATTTATTGCAATAAATTACAAAAAGAACATTTTGTATAGTTGAGGTCATGAGAGTAACTTAGACTAAGAAGTCTCAGTAATCTGCAAGGATAAAATGTCCAGTGGTTAGCATATCAATTACAATCATTATAAGTAATCATTATAAAACATTATTGAGTGTTACGCTGCCTCCTCAGGGAGACGGCTCTCTGGGAGTCAGAAGAAAATCCTTAATGTAAACTGTTGATATGCACATTAAATTGACATGACGTGCATTCGGAAAAAAAATAGTGTAATATTTTAGGTGTAAAATTATATTTATAATAAATAAGGTAATTTTCAAGTGTTGTGCATATCAGCCTATGCTTATAGCATTTAAGATTTTCTTCCAACTGCTTGTGGGCTGTCCCCCTTAGGAGGTAGCGTATCACTGAATAATGTGTTAAAATGATTTTCATGCCCAGTAACTATGCGCCAAGTTTTGTAACACTGTAATTATAATTTTTTTTATATTTTACCATCGCAGGACTTTTTGCACCCTGTGTATTAGATTAATAAAGAACAACATTTCCTTTAACTAGGTTATTCTTTCTACTTTACCCTTTTAGTTTCTGATCCTATCACAATGCTCACAACAGAACCTACACCATACACAGTTTTGACAGCGCTCACACAACCTCTTTTATCGTATAAACAATCCAATGGGTGGCCTATTAAAAAAACAATCTTTTACTCAGTGTTTACACACTTCAAGAACTATCCTAGCCTGCTAGGTCTGGCCGAAGGTAATTAACCTTGCTACCCTCCATACACTGATAACCTCTGGACTGAAAACTAAACTAACCTCTTTCCTAGAGCGCAAGGCACAGTCCTCCAGAGTCTCGGCAGCTTCGTATTTACCCTGTCGTCTGTAGAGAGCTCCAAGGTTCTTCAGTGTTGTGGTCACTGTAGGGGAGTCAACCTGTGGACGATCACTCGTAAATTATATTCATTCTATAGTTTTTTTCCTAGGATGCTAGGCACTAGCCCAGGATAGTTTTTCACATTACTTCAGGTTAGACCTAAAGTAAAGTAAAGTATAAAATTTATTGGTGATCTGGCAGGTTTTGAACCTGGGAACTACAAGACCAAAGTCGTGTGCTATATTACTAGACCAGCTCGACTAGACATAAAAAAATCATGTCAATCATTTATTTATTGCAAACCAAACAATGTTTGTATTTTTTAGGAAATTTCTCAAAGACTGCTATATGTACGACATTGAAAACACCTCCTGAAGACAGCTATTGGTAAATTAATCCAAACCTAAACTAGGAGGAGGCTGCCACACTGCAAGTAGACTGTTGGATTTTGATCTTTGGGAATTGAACTGGTAATAATATTGGCACACGTTTTGGATGGATTATTGCAACATAATCTCAAGCCGGGGTTACCCGATGCCAGTAGGTGGCACGATTGCCATTTGCCTTAACAACTGCCCACACAATTGCCCTGAAAATTTGTTGTCTCCGGGAGTAGACTGAGAACAACTGGCCTCCGAAAATCCCACAATAATGTGATGAGAATTAGCAAAGAGAACTGTCTCACCAACTGGCATCGTGTAAGCCAGGCTTAAACGTTGGCCAGTATGTTAACTAGTTAATTGTATGATCATCTCCTAGAGACCAATATTTGAAAATCCAAACTTAGCAGTAGAATCTTTCAATCTTACGGGAACTTTGAAAAAAGATAAAGATTTATCAATAAATATTCAATTTGAAAATCTAAAATTGTGATAAAAAAATATTGGAAAGGCTTTCTATTAGAAAACATAGAAACTGTTATAAATTACTGACTCAAAGTCTCAAAATGATAGAAAGAAAAAAAGAATGCTTAGGCAATAGATTGATGAAAGACATCTGTTCGAACCACAATCCCATTCCCTGTCCAAAACTTTACTCTACTTGGAATCTGAGGCAGACTTTAGATGCTACACTTGATCAACTGGCATCATATATAAACCCGGCTTTAAGGATTTATGATGAACGTGCCAACTTTATAACCAAAACTTACATGACAACCTATTGCAAATAATAGCATCTGTTGTGTCCCATCATCTATTGAAAAATCAAAAACTAAGGGAGACTAGCTTAAGCTTGGTTTACACAGTGCGGGTTTGTGAGACAGTTGTCTTCACCAATTGTCATCACGTGATGGTGGCCAGTTGTCCTCAATCTACTCACGGCCAAAGCCAATAATTTCATGCCAGTGAGTTGTTTTCTGACATGTTTCTCATACTGGCACCGTGTAAACCCAGCTTTACTCTGAGAAACGCTCATTCAAGCATATTCTAGTTGAACAACAATAGAGCTACTAAGTTACCTTGGCTGCCTTGTGCCATCCGCCGTACTCCCCGTAAGGTGCGTTCTCCTTGTTGCGGTGTTTGTTCTCCTCTCTCTCCTCGGCCACTTGCCAGATCGGCTTGTTGTCTCCTGTAACACGTCGGGACGCGTCAACGCTTGCACAACCGACTCTGACACTCAGTGGCAACCATTCAATATCTTTAGTAACTACAGTACTTAATTGTTCACTTTAAAGCTATATTTAAAAAAGCTAAATGGCTCCATTAGGATTTCTCGTGAAAAGGGATGAGTTAAGCTTAAACGAATTATTAGTTAAAAAATATATATTTGAGAGTGATGGAGTAGGTACATGTTTAATTTATAAAACACATTCAAATCTGATCGTTAGTTTACAATGTATTAACTAGTCTTGAGGTTAAGTTTTGATGTTATGTGGTGTTGAATATTGGCTACTATTGTGTTTGAAAATGTATGATTCAATCAAAGTAGGTATGAGAAAAGTAGAAAGTGTACTTGCCTACGCCACTTTTCATTCGAGTTTGAAAAAAATAGTCTTCAATAACTTAAATTTAGTTTAAGTGTGCGATAAACTTTACAAAATAAAATAAGAAAGTAACTGGTCTAATTTGTCAAGATGTTACAATTGTACTTTGTTGTAGCCCTTAGAAAAAAGATCATGTTTACCATGTCATAAAATAAAATGTTTCTAAAGTATATTTATATAATCATGTGTAGTTATTGGAGGTGTATTTGAAAAAGAAAGAAATTCAACTAAACAAGTAAAAACTACCATTCACAATCACAACATAAATAACAGAAATTAAATTAAACCAAAACACAAAACGGTAAATTATAAATCAAACTTTTGCCACTGAATGTTTCTCCAGAGTCAAAAGTTGCACAATATTTTCTAGTCCAAAATAAAAGAGTCTTAAATAATAAACAAACACATGCATACAAAGTAAAAACAAAAGTATATTAGCAAATATAATATACCTACCCCACCAAATCAATATGTAAACTAGATAAAATTACAGGGTTGCTTTAACAAGAAACCATGACACTACAATAAGCTTACAATTTGGAAAATGGTGTATCAAATCTTTTCACTCCATACATTTATTTCAAAGTGATTTTAAACATTATGAAAAGAATAATGAACTAAAAGGCTTGACATTAAACATTTTCAATATGAAATTAAATGATCATGATATCACTTGCTGATTATTTCATTACCAAACTTTGTTCATTTGTTTAGGTCCTACCATGTTTTTCTGGGGTAGACTCAACTTTTAACATAACATGAAAATTCGGAACCAGCAAAATAAACAAATTTACAACTGGAAAATACATTTTTAATTATAGGTCGGCCGCTTAGAAAACGACCTCCTCCAGCATTGGTTTAGCATTAGTGCGCAGGTCGTTTTCTAAGCGGCCGAACTATAGTAGCATTCTGTGTAAAATATTTAACTCATAACAAAATAAGGCAGGCCTATCTAATATGTTAAAAATACTTTCTAACCTTTATGTGTTGCTTATTTTATCTTTGATAAAAACATAACCATAACAAATTATAATTGCTAGAATTATGTGAAACCAAATCAAATAGATTTCTAAACCAATTCAAGGGTACATTTTAAGTAATGAAAAATAAAATAAATAGTTTAATTATTTGCCTTACATGATTTAAATAAACAAAACAAAATTCTGAAGTAAAAATGTCACAACAATATAAATCTGAAAATATTATTCATACATCATTTACAATAGAAAACTGGTCAAATATATTTAAATTATGATTGTATCTTTACATCTTTATTAGTCAAAAGACTAGTTAATTATTTTGAAGAGTAAATATCCTCAGTTTGAAAATTTTGAATGAAATTGAAAGTATTAATTTAACACTGGACTATAGGAGAAAAACAACACAAATTAAAGTGGTAACTATTTAATAAGGCAAATAGAGGCTTAAGTACTTGCCTGGACAAAACAGGCACAAGCAAGCAAATAAATGCAGCAAACAGTACATTGAGAATTGACATTACTATGAAAGAAAGAATTTCAACTTTAAAAAGTGACTCGGAGGTTGAAAATATAAACTGTGGTGTTGGCAACAATTAATGAAGTAATAGCGGACTTGAGGTTTCAACTATATTAAACTCGCAAATAAGAATGAGAAAAAATCATGAACTATCATAACACTTCTTAAAGGGGCTACGTTTAAAAAATGGCCAATAAATATTTTATCTTTAAACTTTTACATAAAACAAGGCATTTGTATTAAGCAATAAAATTTCATAACCCAAAAATCAATAATTAAAATATTTAAATTTTCTGCTGAAATTCTTCCTCCCGTAAACTGACAAGACTACAAATTGCCAAACTAAATATAAACATTAATACACAACGTTATAAACAAAGCGACAACAAAGTACACATAAAGTGTAGGTAGTTACAGTTCACAAATAAACAAGCCTAGGAACAAAACATAGTAAACTGAGCTAAACAAATACAAAACGTAAATGATAAGTTACAATACAAAAATAGCCAACTTTCTCGTTTTTCAAATAAAAAAATATATACATAGTAACACAGTTTGATGGAAATAGTGAAATAGTCTACCCAAAGAAAAGTCTTTGGCATTGATCACTTTTTTGTTTATCACAAGACCAGGAAAAAAAGGTCTACTAAAATACCGGGTTGTGACAAAGTAAATTTTGTAAAACAAATTTGTGTTCTTATGCTTTCAGTAACAGAATAATTTTGTATATGTGGCCTACCCACATTAAATCATGATAAAACATATTTTCAAGTACAAGAATATTTGATTGATAAACATTTTTAACTTGTGAGAACATAAAAAAATTGTAATCAGAAAATCCTAGAAAAGATTTACTTTGTATGGAGTTAACTTACTACAGGTAGCTTTCAAAATATAAAAATATTAAATACATCTTCTACAATAATAAATACACTCTAAATGACTAAAATTGCAATGCCCAAAAAGCGAGTGAACCCTAACCTTAACACAACCAACATCACAAAACCATCATGGTTTCTCTTGTATATCATAACGAAAAGAGGGATTTAGTTGAAACTAAACAACTCAAGTCTCATAGAAACAGGGGTTTCAAAGTATAAACAAGAATGAGGTATCAATTTACACACTATGTATTACATTATTGAAATCCATTCTAAGATGTTGTGTTGATTAATTATTTAAAAACAAAAATAAAGAGATGCAGGTTTTAACTTAAAAGAAAAATGTATTTTAAATTTGATTTTTTACACTATAAAACCCCCGATAATATAGTTAATAGAAGGCAACAATGGTTTATTACTCTTTTATTTCATAAATAAAAAAAACTTGGAGATACAACCATTTAAATGAAAATTAACTATTACTTTTAAGTATATAACTACACCCGTGATGTAATACAAATAAAAATAAGAATCTTTCATTAGACTAAATCACAACAATAATAGTATACAACCTAAGTCATAAAGAAATTTATATAATTTTATAAAAAACATATTGGAACACTATGTTCAGTAAAAGATTTAAAAATTTGACATGACGAGATGACTTTATTTTACACATTAAATTGTTTTAAATGAAAATGGAATGGTTCCAATCACATTCTGTAAAATAATTTTTGTACTGATAAACTAGATTCTAAAACAAGTAAAATGAATTCAGGGTGTCCACAAAACGACTCCTCAAAATTCCCGTATTTTCTTGCTAGTACTTAAAAATTCCCCAAAGACACCCTGATGTTCTTCACATTATGAAAAACACAAATAAAAAAAAACCCCTTACAAAAATATCCTAGACAAAACAAGATTCTACAAAACAAACAAAACAATAAACTAAAAAAAAAAAAAACATCAAGCCACAAAATTACAGTCTCATTGCAGTCACTTCACAACAGCAGACATCACAAGTTATTTGGTGGTGGTAGGATGAGATTCTAGAAGATTGTCCTTGTACTTTAAGTTCTTACTTTAATACTCTGAGGATGGAATGTAAATTTGCCCAAATATCTTATAAGTCTATGTCTCATAGTATTATATATTTTAGTTAAAAATTGACAGTTGACAGTTATTGATTTAGTTACATTGATTTTGGATTTGGAAATAGTTTTTCTTTTTTCATATACCTGCAAAACATTTTCACCAAAGAAATTATCTGGATAGGATTTTATTCATCACTCAATAAAAAAAATGTAGATACTGTAAAATCCTACAATTTTGGCACCTGATGATGTGGCAGTCCAGTTTTCTCAACAGGCTGGCAAAGGATACATACTTAAACTAAACCTCCCCACTGTTTTTACAGCTCTGCGAGCGAGCCTGTGACAATATATAGAACTCAACAGAGTTAATAGTTAAAGAGTCCTGCCTCTGTCACTTGGACCTAGTACTACTTGCGGACATTGAGTCACGGTCTGTAAGTCACGCATGTTTGATGAAACGACCGGCTGGTCAGTCAGTCAGTCACCACCATATCCATGAGAATTTAATGTGAGGCAAGTCATGCACTTTTCTAAACAAGTTGAATTTATGTGATTCAAAGTTATGATAGTGTATATAGTATTTATGGATGTGGAATAAAAGGGAAGTGGACTCTACAGTAGGAGTAGACTCCCAATTAAATACAAGTGAACTAACCAGTATTGCAAAATAAAAAAGAGTTGCTGTTGTTTATTTTACTGACCATTGATGAGTCACATCCTTCCCAACAGCGCAATAGGTTTGACAAGTTAAATTTTGTGTGTGTGTCTTTATTTTTGTTTAATAGGCCTTTTCATATGTTCTTAAATAATAATGGTTAAAAAAATTAAGTGTGCAGAACCTAGTTAAAAGGTATGTACACTTAATTTAAAATTCTTTATTATTACCTTAACCTGTATTAAATCTGAACAATACATTGAGGTCAACGTTGTTATTCCCTACAAATTTTAGGTTAGGTTTGAGTTATCCACAATTATTTCTATCATCCATGATCATTCACTCATTATCGTGAATTAATCGGGAGTCTACTGCATTATGTTTCAGATTCAAATTTTATTAAAAGTTTCCTAAAAACAAAAACCCGAAATATGTCAAAATTGGCACCCTTCCTGTCCACATTACGCAAAATTTGTGGGGACACCACTTATGTGAGATGGTTGAACCCTCTCCACTTCTAACGGTAGTCTAAATTACCAGTCCAGGTAAATTAATTCTAGAATGTCCAAGAAGTCAAAAGTTTTGCAGACATAATAAAAAAGAAAAAACACCAACTGAATTGTAATACAAATTGTCCGTGAGAAAAATTAGCTTTATATCAACCGTAGGACAACAGAGCATTATTATTCTAGACTCCAAGCACCGTCACATTCCACCCTCCACATTGCAGGCTACAGCACAGTGGTGGTCCACTTACCGTCGATAGTGCCGAACTCCCGCTCGTGCGCCCGCGTCAGGATCTGCTTGTAAAGTATCTCTGCCTCTTTGTACTTCCCCTGCTTGAGGTAGCACGAGGCGAGGTTGTTCTTCGTCTTGGCCACATTTGGGTCGTCCGGCCCCAGTTTGGACTCGTAGATTTCTAACGCTCTCTGGTAGTACCGCTCCACTTCCTCGTATTTTCCCTGTGGAAGTCGTTGGATTTTAGTAATGAATAGTGAGTTTGCAGTTTGCACACAGTCTCACGTATTAAGGGTTCTTACAGTTTATCTGTTTCATTACATTTTGCTGTGTTCAGTACTCACTACTCAGTAGTTGGCCTAACCAACTAAACAATTGCTTGATAATTTTAAAGTGTTGTTATTCACAAAATATTATGAATATGAAAAATAAAGAATTAATAACTGGTGGTGATGATTTTGAATACTAGTTATTATCCAACTGATGAACAAATTGTGCATAATGTAGTAAAACAGTATGAACTGAAGATAAAAGAAAATAAGATGACTAAATTTATTAATTACATAATATTAATAAGAATGAATCAATAAATTATCATTTTTCAAATAGACTAGTTAATCCATCCAGAACCTCTAACCCGTGGTAGGATATGATGGGAGTTACTGTACCTGAGGATTACTTTATGGAGGATCTTAAAGGACTGTTGAAGGACATGCAGGGTACTTTAGACTGGTATACAAACTACTTATCTTAATGTCACTTGCCTGGTTTTGGCAGAGCAGTGCGAGGTTGTTCAGTTGTTTGGCCACATCTGGATGATCCTTGCCCAACACCTTCTCCCTGATCTCCAACGCTCTCTTGCACAGTGGTTCTGCCTCCTTGTACTTGCCCCGCTTTCCATACAGCACCGCCAGGTTGTTCAAGGTAGCTGCCACCTGCCCCACCACACATGTAAGTTTGCAACTTTTGTAGATAATGTAAATTCATTGTAAAAGCCTATGGAAAGCCAGTATGTTAAGATAACAGAGTGCCAACTGAAGGTTTGAAGATCGACATTAAGAATCTCTATCAATAGTTGTTTTGGGTGTATTGAAATCTTAGCGGTTAATATCTTTGCACTGAAAGAGGGAAGGGTATCAATTCCCAGCATATCTTCAAACATTTGAGGCATTTGAATTGCTTTCCCTCAAAAGTGTTTGTGATTTCGAATAAATAAATTCTACTAGCACACTCTAAAAAAAAAATATTCAATATTCACACTCACCAATATATTCACAAATTTTTAACAAGAGTTAGATGGAAATTCTAAAAAAATAGGTAAAAGTAACAATGTCACAAACAATTTATTGTGTATCGCAAATACCCCACCTATAACATTAACTTTTAATAAGAAGGAGGACTTCTCATGAGATGCACACTAGACTCGGAGACTGGATTTGAACCCTCGATCCACTGTGTTCTATCATGGCCAAAAAGATAAGTATTAGATCGCCCGACCTTTGAATACACCTCATCTAATGGTCTACTAGGGTGCACTAACTATGTAGCAAAACATGTAAGGTATGGGTTCCAGCCACTATTATTCAGTTATTTTTACTAAAAGTAGGTTAATTTTTGTTAGTTAGGCCTTGGCCTACATTTGATGACTGATATATCAGGCTTTGGGGTAAACTAAGCAGCGGGGAAAATATATTTCAACTTAAGCTATATCCAGGAAAGTACAGTTATGTTTGGGTTTTATGTCTGCGATTTAGGATTTAAGTGTATCCATGTTTTTTACAGTAGTTTTTTAACACTATTGCTTATACTGCTTTAATGTAGGCGTGCATAACTCACTGCAGGATGATTTTCACCCAGAGTCTTCTCTCTTATTGCGAGGGCGTCATTTAACAAGTTGGCAGCTTCTTTGTACTTGTTCTGGTCCCTGAAATAAAAGTCACAATTTTGATTGTGTGTGCGTTAATTTTAATTTACTACAATATTTAAACATGAATCATATCTTTGCAATACATAACTGCACTAAAGTTAGATCTTGAATCAAATTAACTCTCACATTAGGGCCCTTTCACACGAGGCCACTGGAGGCTTTGACTACTGGCTGCCACTGGTTACCGTTCGGGCAACTGCAGTTGATGGTACAGGCAACTGACAAGCCACTCCACCAATAGCCACCGTACAACTAGTTGAGAAAATGCTTGTTATAACGCTTTGTCACAATTTTTGTTTTTCTATTTTATTTTATTGACATATTTCTCCTTTGTACTATTTCAAATCGCCGGGGTGTAACGGGTCAAATGTGTAGGGGGTAAAATAACGGCGAAACCACGAAACTTAAACAGCTGAATGTAAGCTGTTGTTGTGCCCTAGTCGCGACGCTAAACTGACATCGCACCTAACCTCCAATTCCAAGACAGCAGACGACGTTGGTGTCAGTTTGGTTGTTTGGTTGTTCGACTGCGTCTGAGGGCGGGCTACGGGAGAGAATAAGAGCAGCTGATCCACCTTGTGAGCGAGGCAGCTATAAAGCATGTTAAAGCGGTCATACGCCTGCCTTTGCTGACACGGGACTCAGCTGACTCTGTTTGTGCTGACCAATCAGGAAGCGTTTTAACTTTCGTCTCGATTCTGAGACGAAGGTGAAGGAAGAAGAAGAATTGTGGAGGAGAATTGTCATTCGTAATCCTGGCTTTTCGTAAGTTTGTTTCGCTTTTGGTTCTCTCTCGAAAATTCGTGCAAGTTAAAGTTCGTATCGCAAGCTCTGAAAGCTTAAGTTCGTGTGTATTGTTTTGTAGTGAATATTTTGATATAATTTCGTCATCGGGTAAGTTTTGTAACTAACTTACAGATTATTGTATATTACTTGACCAGTTTTCGTGTACGAAACTTGGTTGAACTTGAAGGCTAGGCCTGATTCGCAGACCTAGTCATACGCCTTAACCAACAATTTGAGTAAAGTACTGCGGTTGGTGAAATATATTTTCAATAACGTTTCATAATCCATATTTGGGACTTACTTTTTAATTCTTAAAACCCTTTGTAAAGTTCCCAAACGTCCCAAAGTTTGTCCCAGCAGACAGGTTTCTACTGGATAATTTCTGTCGAAGTTGGTTTAAGTTGAACACGTGAGGAAGTTAAAGTTTTAGTTTTTCGTTATCAGCTCCAGGAGCAGTTTTATTTTTAGTTTCAGTTTTTCTCTCGTTTCGTGTCTCACTTGTGCAATTTAAGCCAACTTGTTTTCTTGTTTTAGTAAATTTGGACTCTGTGGGAGTTCGGCTAGGTTAGGCCTATCTTGTACTAACCTTGTTTGTTACAGGTTGACGATTTAACTCCGTAGGTAAGCGGAGTGACTATTTAGCTTACTTGTTGATTCGTTGAGTTAGCTATTAGTGTGTCCTTTAGATATTTGCCCACAGAGTCAAGTCAAAATTATTTATTTCCCCACAAGCCTAGGCTAGAGTGGTGATTTCTAGTTGGGTGTTTAGTAACCCGTAACGTTCGTCTCGAGCTCTGACAACCAGGGCTATCAAATTTAGGCTATCCGAATCACTATCGACTCCTGGGAAATTCCCCGCGACCAGACTAGGGCGAATCCTGGGATCTTCGTTTTATTACCGGTGGCGTAATTTCCCACTTGTCGTCCGCCAGGAAAATTACGTCACAGGGTACTTAACCCCTTAAACTAGATCCTCAGTATTAATTTTGTATTCTATTATTTTGTTTAGTCTTTTATTATGTTCTTCTTCTTTTGCTGCAACGTACCCTCTTTATTTTTATTTTGCTCAAACACAAACAAAACAGTTCAACACAAAATCTTCAACTAGCACATGTGTATCTATTTCTGCACGTGAACTGACTGTCAACTGCAAAATAATTTATGCGTGCGGTTCCGCGGTGACGGCTACTAATGGCTTTTTCTGAAGACTCCCATTTAATTCAATGCCCCATGACAAGTTGACGCCACTGCGGTTGCTGCTTGCAGTTACGCGAGGAGACACTGCTCGGCCATTGTGTCCTGACGGGCAACTGCAGTGGCCTCGTCTGAAAGCCCCCATTTAAAACAATGTTTACGCTGTGGCGGGCAACCAGTGACAGCCACCAGTGGCCTTGTGTGAAACGGCTCTTAGTGTGTGGTTAAATCCTCTAGTTGCTAACTACCATTTTCAACAAAGATCCTAAATAACATTTTGCAAACATGTAGATTACAGTTAACGACTTTAGTAATTATGGTTTGGTACTATTTCAGTTGCTTTAACATTGATTTTGATCTCTACTAACTCAATGCAAGAAGATGTCATCCGGTAATGCAAATACAGAACTAACAAAAATGATTGACTACTTATCGTTGTCTGGAAATAGCTCTATTTGTAGGGCAGTGTGAATACTACTGAAGTAAGTGTCAAAAGGGCATTATTAGGTATCAGGCCATTTTCTTGACTCTGCTAGACTTAGCTGATTACTCTGTCAAACAGACTTGAAATCTACACCTGCAAGGTTAACTTTCTCCAAACCTTTATATTTGGCAGCTTTTGGGCAAAGTATAAAAATTGTGCCTTTATGTAAGATCTTTATATATTTACAAGTTAATTACCTGTAGACCAACGCCAGTATGTTCAGCATGGTGGCCACATCGGGATGGTCATGACCACTGGTCTTCTCCAGGTCTTCTAGTGCTTGTTTGCACAGAGGCACAGCCACCTCGTAGCGGCCTTGGCTGGCGTATTGTATCACCAGGTTGTGTAGTGTCCGCAACCTGGCAGGGATCTCGTAGCCGGCGTTCACCTGCTGGGCAAACTGCGATGGCGGTGTCGGTGACATGTCTACAACACAGGCTCAGTATTACAGGTCAGGCGATAACTATTTGGAGTGGATGTAATAGAAAACATGTGAGTGATGCATTAGAAGTAGATTGTCCCAACTCCTAAATGCATCACTCAAGTGTTATTTTGCTTAAAAATATTTCATGATTGTGTGATAGTTAAAATCTAGTTTTGTAGCTTTGTACAAACACTTTTTCAAGTAGTTTGTTCCAGATAATCCAGTAAACATGATTTCATTTCTCGTTGGCATTTGCAAAAACCGAAACATGATCTCAGCCTTAGGTTGAGCCACCATCTTGTGTAAACATGTCCATTGTCTTCATCTATCTTCAATTTGTTTAATTTTTTATTTCTTCAAGCATTTTAGTTTCTTGATTTTGACTACTACAGTTTTTATGTAGTTTTCCTCTTTGAGATTATCCATATCCAGATTTGGCAATTTATTTTTATTCCAAATAAAGGGTAAGTAAACACTAAGACAATCACAAGATAGTGCCTCGAGCAACATTAGGATCACATGTATGTCCAGTAAATGGCCGAAGCAATGGCAACAGATAATGGAAATGCTATCCATTGGAAAACCTACTAAAAACATGGAGAAAAGATTTTACAGAGCCAAAGAGGAATAAAGTAAAGCTTGAAGTGGGCGCAAAAGAACAATTTTTATGTGGATGGTTAAGCTTTAAGGAACATTGATTTGGGTTATTGCCTCATCAGAAGATTCATCCTAAATACAACAGAAATAACAAGAAATGTGTTTTATTTAATTAACAGAACACGAGGGAATAGCAGGATATTTTAAATCAACTAATAATAAATGGCATAATTTTTTGCTAAGGAAATTGGGAGAAATTACAATTTTATTGGATGTTGTGAATTATGTAGACATTATTTAATACATAACTAAGGGAATATTAAGTCTGGCATCTATACTTATTTAATACGCAAGCAGGATTTTTGTGACAATTACTCCTCTGAAACTACTGAACCGATTGACATGTTTTTGGTGTCATTGGAAAGAGCGTAACGTGAAGTTGTGCAGGAAACTTTCTTTTTAGGGAAATTATTAGAGAGTGAGGCTCTGAGGCCCTTTAAAGTTTTGTATTTCTCCATAAGATTAACATGGGAAAGAAAAATTGTTATGAATCTCCAGCTGTTGTCAGAAATTAAAAGTGAGAAGAAGAACATATGTTATTTGTAAGCAGTCAATAAGGTTGCTACAAACATTTACTGACACTAAACAACTAAAACACTAAAAAACAAGATCAGCTTTTGAAAAATGATAAGATATTTACAAGAGATATTGATTATATCGATCTGTTATGTACATCTTGGGTATTTCCATAATCTTTGAGTCAAATCTTTTAAAGTCATCAGAAATTATGACTGTTATTCGTTTTAAAATGACGTCTGTAATACTTAGCAATTGCTCGAATTCGAGCAACCGGTACACTAGTTAAAACTATTGCTGAGGTCAAAAGTAGTAGGGCAAACAAATAATTGTCGCTGAAAAGGTATTATAGATTTGTTGATTTAAGTCTCACAAACTGCAGTAGTCATATGGTTTGTGCACATGAGGGATAATAAAGAAAATTAATGGAAATTGATTGAAGTTTTACTAAACTAACTTAACTTCATGTCTTTTAGTCCAGTTCATTCACTTAACATATGAATATAATGTTTAAGGTGCAATTGTTTAGTCATACTTAAATGGTTAAAACTACACCTAAAACTTACTATTCCTTTCCTCAGCATCGTCATCAGGGAACAAATCTACGACAGGATCGTCAGCTTTGGGCTTGTCTTGTTTCAGTTCTGAAGATGATTCTTGATCCTGCAAAGATTCAGTTAGTTTTAGTTTACAATCAAAATATTTTTGTAAGAGAAGAGTCCAAATTCTGGTCTTGTCATCATCAAGATCGGCTACAGCAGAAAATTTGGTAACGTTAACCTACATCACAGTTAAGTGTAGTAATAAAATATTCACAAATTACGACAAAACATGCTGTTGTCAGCTGACAGAAGACGTTGGTTTGTTAACTTTTTACATCACAATGAAATGATTGGCATAAACACACGATTAGATGACAGAAAAACTCTTACCCACCTCTTACCTCATATAAAATGCTCAACGTCTCCATAAAAATAACCTTACACAATATGCGTATCAACCAGTACATGCGCAAAGGTGCATCTCGAATGGCCAAACCATTTTAAAGTAAAAGCAATCCATTTTTTGAAAGACATGTTTTTAGGCGAGGTTTATTATATTGATCAGCTTGTGCATAGCCACAGTGGTTAGGCGTTCGGCTCATGTACGCAAGAAAAATTAAGTTTTAATTCTTAGAAGAAGCGGGACGTTATCTTTGATGCCGCGAAACGTCGGAGTAAATCCAAGGAAGATTTTTTATGTGCGTGTATGTGTCTTCATTGTGTCTTCGTTGTGTTACATTTCGACAAGTCCTGGATTAACAAATTAAGGTGAGTAAAGCCCACAAGCTGATCAATATAAAAGCAATACAGTTTAAAATTAAATTTAACATCTTTCTTTTGTTTGTTGATGTATGTTGTTTTGGATTTTAGATTCACTACTATGTAATTAATTGTTTTCGTGATAAGTCTATCACCAGCAAAGATTCATGATTGTTTACCATGCAAAAAGAATGTTTACGGTGCAAATTTAATGTTTCCCATTAAGTTTTATATTGAAGCGACATAAACAAACAACATTTGTTATTGTTTCATCAAATGTTTCAATTCACAACAACCAAAACTGAACAATCAATGTAAATTTTAACTTTTAATAGAAGGCCTAGCAAAAAATGCCAATAGTTTTTAAATGTTCCTAACTGGATAAAAGAATTATTCCAATGTATAGTTTTATTAAACAAGTAACTAGTCTTTGTAAAAAAAAGAAAGAAAAAAAAACTTTCAAAACACAAGTGATTGTGGGTCATTTATTCAAAACCATATTTAAAATACTTGAACTTCCAAACATAAGTTGTCAAATAAAAAAAAAAATTACAGTGCACTTTTTAATGTACACTAACAAATAAATTAACATTCATGTGCTTCCAAAAAAACTTACTACTTTTAAAAAAACTCAGAAAATTTACATCGTATACTAAGTAGGTTTATTATGTAAAAAAAATTGTGTTGAAAATCACCTCAAAACTCCCGCCGCAGACGTTGTACTTTTGGTGTGGCATGGCTCGAGGTAAAAAGTCTGCACGCGGTAGTACCGTGGCGGTAGCGGCGGATGTCGGTGTGGCATAACCTTTACGGTAAATAAAAAAAAAACTTTGGATACTTTTAGAAGTATTGTGGGTTTTTGGGAAATCCCAACTGGAATACTGGGATCCTTCCAATAAGATATCTGGGTTCCGTAGACAGTAATCAAACGTAACATGTAAACCTCAAAACTCTATCTATATTTTACAATAAGAGTCTATTTTAGTCAATACTACTCACCGTCAAGTCCTGGTCATATTGTCGCACAGAGGCCATAAACTCAAGGTGTTTCTTGTCCTCCTCGAGCTGCGCGACTTGTTGCTCCGAGGCTTGGAGTTTCTGCTGTGTGTTGGCCAACTCGTCCCGCAGCCACGCGTTCTCCTGACAGAGCCGTCGCACCTGCGTACGCAGCTTCTGCTTCTCTGCCTCCACCATCTGCAGGTGGGAGGCCAACGCCATCATCACCTGAAAACAAATCCGATTTTGAGTAATTGAAAGCTTTTCTTTTAAGACAGCGATATTACCTAGGTGAGTAAGAGTAAAAGTTGAGTGTAGAATTGAAGTGAGATTGTCTAGTTTTGTTATTGAGACCTGTTGTTTTTTTAGCCATGACCATTAATTAAAAACAATGGTTAAGGGCAGCTAAGTGTAGTTTTGGATCACCAAAATTGTCTGGCTTTACCCAGGATGATAACAGTTATTAATTGTATAAAAATAATTTCTTTCTTGATTTTACTAACCTAACGCTGTTAATATCATTTGAGGCAGACAGTTCGACAATGTTGTGTTAATTTCAATGGGCAATGAATCTATACCATGTTTATTTAATAGTATTTGAAAAATATCACATTATACAATTAAATATACCACCATTGCTACAGTGATTAAATTTTAGACATAAACACAAAAATATTGGTAAAATTGATTCATGTTTAACATCATGCACAAGTACCATACATTTTAGGAAGTATACCTAAATCTTCCCTGTCCACAACACGATTATATTTCTTAACGAGCCTATAAAACAATTTATCTAACAGATAATGCAATGGGACTCAGATTCCGTAAAATATCAAACAGGTGTAAACTCATTTGACAAAAAAATGTTTTGAGAACCTTTTAAGTACTTTTGTGGGAATAACAAGTTTGAGAACATTTCACTACTCTCTGTTCATGTTACTTCACTCAGGTCATAACTCCTTCTCTATTCATCTGAGAGTTTTGAAACATCAACAAGACTAAAAGGAAACTAGGGCATGTTGGTAGGCCTGAGTTCACAGTGGAGCATCAAAGCAGTCACTCACTGAGATAAGATCAATGCAATCTGCCCTCACTGGCCGGTGTATTACCTCTGGTGAATAAACACGAGAGTTCACTCCAACCGACATTGGTAGCCTACCACGCTACAACATCCATCATTAGTTGATTGGTACCACTGATACGATATCCATCATCAACAGATTGGTACCACTGCCACGATATCCATCATTAACAGAATGGTACCACTGCCATGATATCCATCATTAACAGAATGGTACCACTGCCACGATATCCATCTTTAACAGAATGGTACCACTGCCACGATATCCATCATTAACAGATTGGTACAACTGCTACAATATGCAGCATTAATTGATTAGTAATACTAATACAGTACAGTAATTGCAATGTAGTTTTGATTATAAAACATTCTTCTTCAATGATTTGATTCTGGTTATTAATTTCAGCCAATATCAAAGGTTTTAAGATTTTAGTGAATTTTCCTGTAGGGAAGTAGCAACGAGTAGGTTTTAGGTAACTTTTAATAAGTGGCCAGATTTTAATGTAATTAGGCATGAATCTGTAGGGCGGGATAAACTTGAATGAGTTCACAAACCAGCAAGATCGGGTCATAAGAACAAGGTGTGTTGATGGGTTTAAAAATAATTAGAGAGAAAAAAACAATTTTGTAAGTTGAGGCATTGTTTTACAATAAATGGTTACAGAGAAAATTACAAAAAACTGTAAATTTAAAATTCCCATGTTAATGTTATTTTGAACAAGAAAACTGTTCTTGTTCATGGATCTATTTTGATCAAATTTGGCAAATTTATTGTTTTGCAATATACTATTACATTTGACAAAAAAATGTTTAACCCTTCCTGTTGGAGCAATTCAATTTACTGTTATTCAAATAGGTAATAAATATAACTCATTAGTGGGAATATTCCCAATCAGAGAAATTGAAAATTGCTTTGACTGCAGGTTTGCTGCAGTGGGGGTATTTTGAAACAGTGCTTCAAAAATGCTGACTTTACAATAGGCACTTCTACACCCTGCCTGAGGCAGTGGTCTTGATGAATCCAGGCCAATGTCATGCATCAGTGGTCCTCAATTACACAATTACAATGTAATTTCCTGTTCAAAATTATCACGGTGCAAGGAGGCTGTTTCTTTTAGGCCTAGCTGAAGATTCTGCACTCCAAAAACATGTTGAGTATTCCTATAATTTTGATGAGGAGGTTACTACTTTAATGTGATAATAGTGCAAATAAAACTTAGTTGGTTTATGTATGACAAATACTCGACTATTGGGTCGGATATAATTAGAGGGTCCAATAAAAATCCATCACCACTTACCATCTTTAATATTTATTTACCGTCCTGTTAGTTAACAGTATAAGAGTAAATCTATGTTTTGAGTGTTATTAGACAAATTTTAATTTACTTCTTAAATAGAATAATCTGTCGACTAAGACCCCAATTATCAAACTTTTAATATACGGTCCTGACTAATGAAACAGCTGATCTTAGCCAGTAAATAAGCTACACAAAGCATCTTACTGTAACTCTCGACATACCCTGCGACCTGCGATCATATTCAGCCTAAAATATAAACAAAGTACATGACTGTCAATAACGTGATTAGGTGTAAACGCACCTGTGACTATATAGATGGAAACAGGATTTAACTAAGCATAGCTATTTGAAAGACTATAGTGCAACAATAAACTTAGGTAACTGTATTGCTGGGATGGGAAAATCTTCTGCAATAATCGTAGAATTGTTTGAATCTCTTGAAATGGTTTGAGAACCAAGCATGAAAAGAAATACACAATCACTAGGTGCTACAATGAGATCATGTGATTGTTTTAACTCTTCTGATCTGATAACTAACAAAACAGGACAAAGAGTTACCTCATATCTCCAACTAGGGAAAAACATAGTTTCATCATATCAATTTAACTTTCATTGAAATGTTTATTAAAAACTAGACAATCAGTATGTGCATTAGTTAAATACATATTGAGTTCAATATGCTTGCAAGGGAACAAAATGTCCTACAACCTTCCAAGAGAGGATCTAATGTCTCAGTTAACGGAGTCTGAGTCTTATGGGACTGGGTAATGTGGTTATTTAGATTCACTTCATTCTACAACTAGGTACATTACAATAACGTTTTACTCTCGTAGTTTGCTTAGGTTACATATTACACAGTAAAATGCGGTATTGGATATACAATACTTTTTGGTAAATGGACTAGCTGTAATAAGTTTTATGTAAAAGTAGGTAGTTTTTTAAAGGTTTTTGAAAATAAATTATTTGAATACATATTATAGTATTGGATTTTACATAAGTATAGTCCAATTCATTTGGCTCCACAACAACTAAAATTAATAATTTTTTATTCCAAAATTGTCCAAATTTTCACGCAAGGTTGAAATGATAACTTTTTCTTATCCAACTAGTAGTCTAGTACCGTATTACATAGATTAAGCTGATTTAGCTAATATGATCTTAAAACAAAACAAATCATCGTTTTCTTTTCTATTCTAAAATAGGGGGCTAAATAAACAGCAAGATACCATAGAAAGACATTCTTTAACTATTCTACTATAAATAAAACAAAACCTTTGAATAAAACACATTAAACACCACTGTCGGATGTGTAGGACAAACCTGACAAATAACACAGGAGAATGTGATGCCTGCCATGTTGTGACATTTGACAAGCACAAGAGTAACAAGTATTTACACTAATGTTCTGTCACAAACAATGTCTATTAAAATTAAATTTCACTAAATGTATTAGTATTGACCTCGATATTTAATTTTACTTTTTTGAAACTGCCGATTTGTTCAAAATTAATCCAATTTCAATTCCAGTTTGCAAGACACCTTCTATATGTCAACCTATCAAACATGAAGTGTAAGTTTCTTGAATAAGAACTATGTATATCCGTTTTATAGATCTCCACAAAAGTTCAATAATGTTACGCACTACTGCATTTTGCAACTAGCTTCATCCATACATTTCCCAAGGTGAAACTTACACCATATGGTTTGGATGATATTGACCAACCCCAGGCTGTGGTAAACCACTGTCATTAGAGCCTCAAATAAATATTGAGAACTAGTTTGAGGGAGAAACTTTCACTAAATCTTTCAACAATATTATCTTTGATAGCTACTAGTATTACTCAACCCCTCAAAACTAAAAATAAATTATTTACAGAATAGCATTTTCAATGCAAAGGGGTTTTATTCATATTTCCTACTACTACAACATGTAGTCTGTGCCTTTGCCATCAGATGCCACACAGCTTAGTGTGATGCAAGTTCAGAGTAGCCAATCACAAATGAGTCACCAGTTCTCTAGAAACATCACGCTGACTTTGCTACTCAATTGTATGGGAGCATGCACAAGCATGGCTGACTCGGTATTTAGTCTACCTCCGAGGCTTATCTACAAGGTGACAAAAAAGTCTTGGTACACTTAAATATTTTTAAGACTAATTTAGTTCTACAAAACTTGTCAAAATCTTTTTAACACATAGTTCAGAAATATGCTTGTCGCTTCCTACTCAGGGGGACACGGCCCAGTAGGTAATTACCCTTCTAGGAGTCAGACAAAAATCTTAACTTTTAAGAACGTAAGCAAAGGGTGAAATGCACATAAAATAAAAGGTCTTTACAATAATGACATATGACAGATGGGTCCAGTACATTGAACTGTCAAAAAGCTACTTCATTTGATTTTGGTTTTGTAGTTCGGGTTTGTGGCATTTTGTTCTGCTCATAAAGATATTTAACTTAACCAGCGACCTTCCACAAACGTTATATCCCTTAACTACTCAGCTTACATGAAAAAAAAACATGCTTTGAATTAAACTTGATTCATAATCATTAGGGAACCAATTTATTTTCTTGTAAAAGGATTTTCATCACAGTTTCAACAAATAAAAAAAAACATTATTTGTAAAACCTAATCTAAAATAAAAATACAACAAGGGTGCCAAGAAAGAGCTTCAATATATTAGCTAAGGGACAAAGAAAAGTAAAACAGTAATTGCAATTTATTATTAAATTGCAATTATTGCAATTCAATTGGTAAAAAGAGTTTAAGGTTTCTTATTGAATGACAGTTCCTTGATTGTAAGTGAAGTAATAGAAAACTATTGCGAATTGTGAAAAAGGAAGTTCCA